GAGGAAACTAACTGGAGAAAACCCACAGGTGAACAAAGAGAACACGCAAACTCCACCCAGAAAGGTCCCAGTGGTGATCTTTAAATACTTGGTGGGAAGTATTGCCCCCCCCCACCCTTTTTCAAATGTAATCTTATTTATTAAAACATTTTGTAATGCTTTTTGTTGGTGCAAAAAAAAATAGAGCACTACAAAATAAAATCTGATTGGTTGGTCAGATGTAAAGACGGTTTTGGACCTCACAGATTTAGCTTCAATCACAATTGTTCAGAGGGTTCATTTTAACTTCAAACTCCACTCCATGTGAATGAATGAATGAATGAATGAATAAATAAATAAATAAATAAATAAATAAATAAATAAATAAATAAACTCCCCCTCAAAACAGCTAACTCTCAGCAGCAGCTATAGTTTGCTTAAAAAATAAAAGAGCTGATTATTCTCTGTCGGTATTCTGTCTAATTTAACATCTTYTTTGTTAAGTTTTAACACTCCGAAGGGTCCAGTTTGTTATTAAATGGAGCATTAGTACTTTTTTTTTTACCCTAGCTGGCACTTAGTAAACTTGAGCATTCTCATGCTTAATATTTAAGTACTTCYCATAAAAAGTTCAAACAGAGGAATGACTAACCAAGCTTTAAGGAGAACAGGAGTGTCCTGGCTCAGTTATTCTGAACTGCAGTGTGGAGCTTTCTCAACGTCCCAACTTTGCCTAAAACACGATGCTGTTAGTAATTGTGTTAAATATTTAGGGAAAAAAAAACGGTCAAGAACTGTTCCAATTTGCTGTGCTATAGTGAATCTGTACAGGGTGCTGCTTGTAAAGCAGTTTGTGTTTAAAAACAGCAAAAGTTTGACACATTTAGCTTCAAACAATGTTTGAAAAAGTAGASTGGATTTTCTAAAGTCCCATTTTAGCCCATTTAAATAATTAAATTCAAATGTTAAACCCAAAACTTTCACTAAAACCAAGTACAGAGCGAATATGGAAATTCACACTGCCTGTAACCGGAACTACCAAAATAAAAGCTCAACTGTGCTTATAGAATAAAAGTAACATCTTATAACGAAAGCTTACTGTGGGAATCAGTACATTATTGTGAAAGTAAATATGTAGAAAAGCATTTATAGAGAAACTTTAGGAGACATTTCTAAAAAATGCAGTCAAGCTTTTATTTTGGTACTTCTGGTTACAGGCAGAGTGAATTTGCACATAAGAGAAATATTAAGCTTCAGCTCAACTTTTAAGATTTAACATTTAGAATTTAGATTGAACTATTTAAATGTGCTAAAAGGTGACTTTGGAAAATAGGGCTGGGTGATAAGGATGAAAAATGTATCGCAATTTGGGGTTGCACCTCCTCATGATGTCTTCATGAAGATGATCCTTGCTCTGTGCAGGGTCGGTGGCAGCATGACCCAGAGCACCTGTTCTCCTATGTTTGTTATGTTCTGTCTTCTTCTGAATGGGTGTTCTGAACTGTAACTTCATTGTGCTCTGTACAATGACAATAAACGTCTAGTCTAGTCTAATCTAATCTAAACTAATTTAAGCATTTCATATTAGTCAATATCATTACTGATTAGAAGACAAAAGACTGAATAATACTGCCAAACTGGTGACCTGACCTTTCCTCTTTTATCCACAATTTCTTCCCCAGCTATTGCCTCATTTTCTCCTTTATTCTACGTCATTCTTTATTTTGCAACAGCCAGAAGACACGGTGATGAAACAAACCGCTACTGCTCAGGTTACTCAACAGGTTGTTATTAGCTTACCAAAGAATGAGTTTGTTGATGCCACCAACCTTGCTTAACTGGGCCGTGAGAGGGCGAGCAGCTAAAGCTTTTCCTCTGCCTATCCCAGCTGCTTGGCCTCGAAGGCCATGCTATCTAAACTCCCCGTGGATGATATGTCARCAAGGGCTTGATTCCCCTCCCACCCCAATCACTCATGTTGGACCCGGTCTGTGGACCCAAGGCCGAGAAGAGGAGGAAACTCTGAACTCTGGTGAACCGAGCRAGAGGTGGTAACATCATGGACTCTGGAGGGTTGTAGGGACGGGTTCCAGCACGGAGACCCACCCTCAATGTCACCGACTCCACTGAACCCCGCCCGTCTCATGTGTACCTGGACAAATTTTCTTTTAATGTTGATCATGTGTCATCTATATTGTTATTTATTTATTGCCCAGTCCTATTAGGAACGCCACACTACTTTTACCAACATTTCCCTGTTATAGTTAGCACAAGCTTCTTTACAAAGAGAGCTTCATGAGTCTGAGCTTCCTAACAAAGTGTACRTTTCATACAGGACAAAAAGCTGCAATGGTTGTTTAGGTTTTTCTTATTTTGTACAAAATTTAAAGGAGACCAATTATGGGTCCTAGAAATGTTTATGGTATGTCTGTGGGCTATCCAGACCATGTTCATTCAATTTAATGCACAAAATAATTCTCAGATAATAAAAGTTCCCATTTTCTAGTTCTGCCTGCTCTGACTTTCGTTCAGAAGAGCTGTTTATGTTAATGAGCTCTGTTGGTAACGCCCTCCAAAAATCTGTTGACATTAACTCCGCCCTCCAAAGCCAGCATTTATGTTAGCATGGCTAATAAYAGCAGAAGCTCCGTTGTACAACCATATGAGACCCAGAGGCAGAGTCGTGGTCGCAGCTTCTTTTTTTTCCCCTCCCTCCTCTGCTCTGCGCTCACTCTGCATGCTGTTACCAGAGCAGGGAGCAGCAGCGGTCAAAATACCTCAGAAACTCAAACAAATAGGCTTTAACAAGGTTTAATAAGCTAAACAATAGAGGTACATGAGAAAATGTGTTCATAACAAATGAAAATAAATAATTAAACAGTGTCCATGCCAGTCTTGAACCTGGTCTCCCACTCTCTGGTCCAACACTCTACCCATTGCCCTATTGGAGGCTTGTTGTGAAATGAGCTGCGCATTGCACAAGAACACGGTGATGGCTTTTTATAGTGAGGAGGTGGAGTCTCACCCGGGGGTTTCTAGGTAAGGGGCTGAACGCAGGTTCTGGTGGGTTGTTGTATGGTTTGTGACATCACAAAATGACGGAAGTATAAAACTTGTCATTAATATACATTAAAATACATTTACTTACAGTAAATATGCCCCTGGGTGCATTTTTTTGGTCCTAGGACTTTTTTTAAGAAGTACATTCCCAAAGTTGARTAAAAAAAACCTTTAAAAAGTGAATTTTGCATAATAGGTCCCCTTTAAACCAGATGTGCTCAAGCTGTAGTAATATGATGTGGAGGGTGGAGCGGCTCATCCCTCTAAAAACCAGCTTCTTAAAAACGGGCTGTAAAAAAAACTTTAAAAGTAAACTGGTTGTTTTGTATTTCTGTGGTATTCTGACAAAAACACATTATAGTTTTTGTCAGRAAATAATGTCAAGTGCAAAAGAGGGCAGAATGTTTTATTGATTTCTTTATTATACATTCATCTAGAGTGCAGGATGATGTTAGTCGACTTCAGTGTTTTTATTTTTTATTTAAATTTTCTTTCTTCTGATTCATGATCTGTCTGCCTTGAACCAAACACTGCCTGCAGTTCTTCAGGTGATAAACGCTCATCGTTGTCTTGGATTGTGTTTGTTGGTGCTGGGCAGGCAGTTTATCAGTATCAGCTGCCTGCGGCTGACATTCTTAATAAAAAATTATTGATCAATGCAGCTCAGAAGTCAGTGTATATGTAAAGTACAACTGCTCAGTTTGACTTAAGTTCTTCCTGCTGCCACTGAAAAAGGTATTCAGTCCATTTATTACTTTAAAAGCTCAAGTAATCAATAAACATTTACATATCTCACCAGCTCTGCTTTGTAAACCACTTCGATGCTCAAGTAGTTGAATCAAGCACTCAGTGGAGCTGAAATAAATGATGAGCAGCTTCAAGGAATTTATTTCTTATTACAGCAATGATCAGGAGTCCAACCTGAAAGTGGGAACTGTTCTGCTCTCTCACTTCAACTTGTCAAAAGCAATCAAATTAAAACGGCTATACATGTATATACAGTATATTTAAAAACTGGGCAATTATGCAGCGATACAAGTTAGAGTTCAGGTTAAGTTGAATTTTAAAAGATTATAAGTGATTTTTATGCTGTTGCARTTTCATACCACCAGGATACAACCATGCACTGAGGGTACAACACCTCTGCACAGGATGAAATGGGTTTTTAGAAACTAGATGATTTGCATTATTGAATTTTGTTTATTTTTGCTGACAACTGAATAAAAAAATCYTTCTCCTTACCAAACTAATTTAGTTGCTGAAAACAGCAAATAGAGCCTCATTCACACCTCTGTTAGGTCTGCACAGAGTGTACCCTGCCCTGGGGATAAGTCCCATCCCATGTGAGTCAGAGTGGTGTTAAAGGGTAGAGGAAGTCTGTCAAAGATGCACAGTTAGTGTGCAAAATAGGCGTACCAGGCTCAGACTCAATGAAACAGATGCTGCCTATAAGAAATACAGAACAAGCACAAACCTGCTTGTTTCTTCAGTAAAACATTTAAAACTGTCTTATTATTGTAAACGATTAATGCATGATTAGAACAAAACTGTATTTTATTCATTTTTGTCTTTCGATTCGGGGCTTTCAGAAAATATCTAGAGCTACTACTAATAATGATCCTAAAAACTGGTTAAAATTTGATCATCTACCTTTCAAAAGCTCAGTAGATTTTTTTTCTAAAYGTTCTTCGGAAAGATTTTCCAGTTGGTTGCAATAAGGAACCTCAACCACTAGATGTCGCTGGATATCACACACTGTTCCTTTAAATAACACAGCTGAATAACACTAAATACTTTTTTTTTATGCCCAGAGGTTTCAGTGCACAACATGCAYGAAAACTTCCAGCTAAATAGGATGGGAAATGTGAAGGGCAACAGTCAAGTCTGGTAAATGTCAGACATTTTAAATGCATCTGCAGCTGCGCTTCTTGTTCAGATGATTGATGCTGATCAATGACATGACTAAATACATTTTAAGAACAGCTAAAGCAGTTAAACAAGCAAAAAGGTAGGAAACCAGTGAGGCAGGTTTTATATATATATATATATATA